GGATAAGGCGGATGAGGTCTTTAAAGGCATCACATTTGGCATATGTATCACCTTTCTGCTGGCCATTTGGTGATTGCTTAACATCAATTTTGCAGATATATTACAACCATTGTTCATAAGCCCACTATAACGAGATGTGAAAAGCTAGACCACAGGAATCAAATGTGAAAATTTCGAGATTTAGGGATTTAACTGAAATTGTTGCTGTGCACCGATTCACGTCCCTGAAGGCATTCTGCAATTGTAAAACTTAATTCAAAGTGCATTAACTTAATCGGCCAACGGCTTCCTTCAATCGAGCTAATTAAGCTGAATTGCTATTCCAATTTTCCACTTGCATTCAGAGACGCGCCCTGGACCATCATCATCTCATCAGGGGCAGCTGGAAAATTGAAAATAGAAAATTGGGGCTGCTCGCCAAGTGAGCTTTTCCACAGGCATCGTCTCGACTGACTCTCATTGTGCAGAGATTGAAAAATCGTATTGAATTACTGGGACAAAAGCGACGTAGGGCTAGGAAAATTGAAGTTAAATCAAAATCCATAATGTTGGCAAATGTGTTGTTTCCATTGTCTTTCCCGGCGATTCCCGATTGAATTATGAATTAATAAAGATGTTCGCCCGCAGGCTAGATTTCGGTTACTCCGGCCGAAGACAAAAAGGGCAAGTCAACCCCTGTGGCAAAGTAGATTTTGGCTTTTCGGTTTTGGCAAACAAGCAGCCAGCTTACAAATCCGTTACAACAACATTGAGATTGCGATTGGGATTGGGATTGGGATGTGTGTGTCGTAACTTGAGGATGCACTTTTCCGCTGCCCTTTTATTGGAAGATAATTGGGTTCGGAGATGAGCAGGGCAGGATCTAAGCGAGCAGACAGGCGTAAAGTTCGCCCAAACTCGCAATTCAATTGAGATTCAAATTCACTTACCCCAGCCCATCCGCACTGGAACCTGGTTCTAGTGTTTCAGCTGGCCGACCCGGCACATCGCCACCACCATAATCCCCGCTCGCACCGCCCTCATCCTGGCCAGAGCCATTTGCAACCCAACGCTTTACGTCCAAGGCTTTTGACGTGTAAATGTTATCTCTTTTACAAATTAAGCCCAGCTTCCCTTTCCCCTGACCTTGTGGCGGATTTCCATCCCCATGCCCCTTGTCTGTGCCGCATGCGAGTAAGCACTCCCTCGCCCGCTCCGTGCCACAAAAAATGTCCAACAATTAAATGTAATTTGAACTCACTGACATGAGCTTGTGTGATTCTGGATGGTTGTTCTGGCGGCAGGGGCTGGAACAGCAATTTCGGGGAGATCGACTAGAAGTCGGATAGATAGTGTTTGATAATCGCGTCCCTGACAATTATTTTCGTACGGATTGAAGCTTTCAATTGGTGTACAACAAGATAATTGATCGGAAACATGACTCCGATTGGATGCAATATAAATTCTTGTGTTCGGCCAGTTTTGTTTAAATTAATTGTCAAATGAACTTTCTTCCTCTTTGACGAGGCTTGACAGTTGGCGATTCGTTTCTGTTGAGTCATTTGGGGAGTTGTCATATTTACTAGAGGGACACGCTCTTGACCCTATAAGTTATCTATATTCTTGATCAGAATCTGTGGCCAAGTCGATCTGGCCACATCCGTCTGTTCGTTCGTCTGCCGTCCAACTGTCCGTATAAACTATGCAAGCTAAAATGAGTTAGCATGCAGATTCTACAGAGGCTTAGCTTAGCTAAAATGATTTAGCATGCAGATTCTAGATTCTCTACCAGCTAGCAACTATGGCGGTTTGTCTTGTTGCTTTCCATCTTATAGGGATAATATTCCATTCCATATGAGCTAAGTTTTGGAGATTATGACCCGCTGCCCTTTCGAAGTATCGAATGTCAAAGCCCCATTGAGACATTCAATAATTAGTTAGGCAAATCTCCCTCGAATCGAGCCTCCTTTCGGCCAAGTCAGCTTTAAATCAGTTTAGGCCCGGCCGCACACACTCGCCCACACAGATGCAGCGGATATATTCGGTCAGCCGGAGCGACGCGGATGCCAGTGCCAAGCACTGGTGACCACAAGGGGTCAGGGCAAGTGTGGGTAAATTGGTAAGCTCTACACTGAAAGAAGTGCGGTTCGACTTTACTGTCACTAGCACTCTGAAATTATTAGAAAGCTTTCTTGACCTACAGATTAAGTAGCTAAACACATTGCTTCACTTTTAGTTACACTATTTTCGATTCAAGACCTTATAGATTTTTTTGCATTTCCATGGAGGTCTCCTGGTGACGTCATTAGCTCGGTCGAAATTTTGGTCTTTGTCTCGCCGACCTCAAGCCCCATTTTAAAACCCATCTGCATTCCGTTTGCATGTGTTTGTGGGCCTTATGACACGTATGCCAAATCGGCTTAAGGGCAAGTTATCGGCATTTGAAAATAAAAACACGCGCATTATCAACACCAAGCAGAACAGAAGGTTGATATGTGGCAGTGCACTGCGAGAAACGGCCTTTGATTTCATTTTCCTGGATTGTGAAATCGAGTTTTATAATGCAAAAATGGAGCAAGACTTTTATTGCATTATTCCAATACTTATTACATATATGTATGGACGCCGTATGCAGTAAAAATAATTTATTGTGTACCTACCGGTTTTTGATAATTACAAAAATAAAAGTTACTGGCGCATCTGCCATTCTTTTTTCGCCTTACTGGCTTGAGCCAAAACCTGGTTATTAAAATCTGAATAATGTATTCGTTATAATAATATAATATCTTTTGGCGCCCCAGTTTTCTGACGGTGTATTCCGTCGGCTGCATTCAGCCTTCTGGCTGAGAACGAGGATGAGGATGTCAAAGCCACCGTCTGTCTAGCTGTCAATGCGTTTTCCATTTGTCGCCTCTAATGACACACATATTTAGGTGTTAATCGCCTCATTGGAACGCTGGCAGCGGATTTGCTCGCATTGTTGTCCGCGGGGATCGGGGATCGGGAATCGGAGGAAACGGAGTCGGTCGCTGGGTAAATATTGATGCTGCGATTATAGCTATTGATGCGTTCACAATGGACTTGCCGGGCATTATCCTTACCCGATCAGCCAGCCAGATCTGTCCTCTCCCGTCCTCGTCACTCTGCTCGTCGGGCGATTAGTCGTGACCGGGGTTTCAGTCAATCGTGTTTTGGCTTTAAGGCGCATTATCCCCTAAATCGCAAACAAAACTGCAAACAAAACTGCAAGCAAATTGCCGCAAAGCGGGACCCGAAACAAGAAAAACACACCGATTTGAGGCGAGCGGAGCATATGCTGGGAATCCGGATCGGCATTCGGATCGGGAGGGTATTTGGTATTAGGAAATTGCCAAATGGCTTCCGCGGCGGAGGAAGTGAGCTGCCAATGATACGATATAGCCGACCAGCCGACTGTGTCTCCTTCTGATCTGCGAAAAGGTGTTTATTCCGATCGGGGTTGTTTAATCTGATCTTGTTCGGTTGCGTGATAAATTAGTTAGGAACTTGAATTCGGTTCTTCTGTACTAAAAATGCGCAAAAAGGACAAACAAAATATACATACTATGTGTAAACGCAACAACCTTTGAAATAAAGTTTTACATTTTTATTAGAAGATTAAAGGGTGGACTTCTGTTGCAATTAACAACACATATTCATATTCAAAAAATGAGAAAAAACGGGTGATCTAGTTAAAATGTAGTGTAATTTTAATTTTCCCAATATGCGCTTCTTTTTTACTTATAAAACATCTTAGATATATATAAATACAACTGGTTAAATAAATATCCATAATATTATTGAATTCACCATGACATGACATTTAACAAGACCAAAATATAGCTAATTCATAGGTTTTGTAATATCAAAGCGAAAATATAAAATATAAATCCCTGTTACCGTTTCAATCAAATAAATGAGGAGTTCCTTTAATACTATACATCCATGTATGGGAAACATGACACAGGCCTGACAATTATTTTTAGAACGTTAGCTCTCCTTTTAATTGGAGTATATGCTAAGCTGCCATATATATGTATGTACAAACGCACAACTGGGACCGCTGATGTGACCTCACATATTGTTTCCTTTTAAAAAAAGGTCTCTCATTCGCATTTGGTAATCAACCCCCGTCAGCCAGATAAATGTATCTGTTATGATATGTACATGCAACACAAACTGCGCCGGCGCCAGAATTTCGCTGCAATTATGGTACAGTTTCAACCACTGTGCTGTTAAGGAGTTTCGATTGGTGAATTGCTTGTCAACCAATCCTGTGACGTACGGAACACTGGAGCTGTGTCGTGAAAATTGGAGAGTGAATTGGTTTAACTATTTATTTTTGGGATATGTGCACATAAGATTGAATGAAAATAAATTAATCTGTTTTTAGGTGAAAGGTCATTGTCAGCGGCTCGAATATTTAGAATAGATGTACTTAATTGTATGTAATTTTTAGAGTTGTTTAATTGGTATCATAAATTCAAGCTTTCATTATTATTTAAAAAATTTTAAATTAAAAACATGGTGACTTATTGGAAGTAGAAGTTATAGAAGTTTCTAAAATTCATTTTTAAAGTAACTGTTTAAATACAAGAGAAACAAAACATCGTTTCTACTTAATTTTACAGCATTGAGCAGAACCAACAAGCAGTGAACTTAACATCGTCAAGCAGTGTGCTAACAGTGGTTAGCCATATTAGCAGAGAAGAACTGCTTTACTTGAGTGGCAAGCAGCTGGCATTTTGAGTTTTTCAGCCGTTAGGCGCGGTGAGAAAAGAAAGACATTTGTATTGTTTGTTTTAAACCATTTTATTTCTAAAAAATTAACATGCCTTTTTGTTTGCAGCTAGAATTATAATCACTAATTAAGTAAATGTTTTGTTTCTGTTCTTAATCCATTTGGTGTTTTTAATTTTTCCATTCTGTTATCGTTTAATTCTATTAAAATTTAACACGAAAGATCGCTAAAAATTGCTCATTTGTTACATTCAACGTTATACGCCTTTTGATTTGAAAATGGATTGATTCGTGTAACAACGCGATAATAGTTCATTAACAAAGTTAAAAACAAAAACAAAATTACGCCCTATGTGGTAAGTTACCAAGTAGTAAGTAGTAAATATTAACTGAACACAACAAACCATTTTTACACGAGTGAATTGGCTAGAGTAGAGCAAAATAAGGGGTGATTACAATGTATTGCTATAAGAAGGGTCGGGAAGAACGTAATGTACATAATGTGCAAGTGCTGCAGGTGTCTTCTATGTGCTAACGGATAAACAACAAAATGATCAACAAAAACCTTCGACTAAGAATTAACGCTAGCTAAAAGTATAGATCAAATAACAGAGAAGATGGGAACTAAGCAATGTGATTGGCTTCGAGTCCTCCTTTTTACATACATAAGCACTATGGATAAGTGTGTTACTTTCGCTAGAACTCGTGAACATCATGGACGGATGTTAATCTGAAGTAAAATTTAGCGCACAGTGGCGCCATGCTGGCTGCATACAACCCGTTACGTCAGCGGGGGGTGGGGAGGTTTGAAAAGGAAGCGGGATGGGGAGGTGGTAGGGGAGAAGGGGAGAGGGTGGTCTTGGGATTACTTTCCAAATTTTGATTTACACTAAAGTTATCTATACTAATCAACAGTTCCATGTCCAGTTGGTTGTTTGTACAGTGATCGCTCGTATCGTAGATGTAGATATCAGTATATCAGTATATGTATGTAATGCTATCATAGGCATCTAAGGCATAGTTTTGTCTAAACGATAAAGTTCGTGTTACTCATATTTCGATTTACCAATTATTTACAACAATTTCGTATCACAATTGTAATTTTTGCATGTTTTTGTCTTGCTTGTTTAAAAAATGTTCCTACGCTCCAGTTGTATGCAAACTGACGAGCAGCACTGTGCGAATATTCGAAATGTTTTCCACAATCGAAGTAACCCCCGATCGCTGTTGTTATTGTGTTAGATTAGTTACTCAAACTAGGAGCTATGTAAAAGGTACGAGTATAATAATTGAATTCATAATTCGATAACCCTCTGCTAAGCTAAAAGAATCCTTATCTGAATCTGAATCCGAATCCGAATCTATATCTGCATATGTATCTTTATCTGTATCTGTATATGTATCTGTATCTGCATCTGTATCTGTATCTGCATCTGTTTTTGTGTGTGTGTCTGCAGCTGAATGTATGCTGCGTGAGAGTGGTGTACATAACCTGGCTATGACGTATATATCCTGTTGTTTATATGTAAATATATGTAGATATAGCTTCTCGTTTATATCCGCCTAATCAAACTTGCTGCTGTCGTATTAAACTCTGAAAACATAACAAATTTAAAGCCCTTCGCTGCAACTGTATAGGCATATATGTATATGTATGTATATGCATCTATATCGGATGTATCCATGTGTGTGAAGTGTGAGTTGTGGATGCTTAAAACCATAAACTGCCACCTTTGAGGCGAGCTTAGCTATATAATGCACTAAACCGACTAAAGCGGACCCGCGTTGACGCAAGTGTTTGCTGGCCAGTTGAACCGGCTGGAAATTATTGCCAAGTACTTAAGGACTAAACTACAAAACCTAATGCATAATAAGACTACATAACAGGGTTGGTTTCCGGGAGGGTATATATGTGTGTATATCCATCGCACTCCGTTTTTGATTCTGCCATCTCGACTGTTCGACTGTTCGACTTCAACTTCGACTTCGACTTTTCAAGGGATTAGGTAACTACGTAGCTCTCATTTGATTTTCATACTCTCTGCATGCAGATCATAAAAATATGATGAGTTATCTCTAACTAACTATATATGTAACGTAGACGTAAGTGTAAACGTAGAACTAGATGGTAAGTGTATAATTTGCTCTGAGCTTAACTGTGTGCCTGGTTGTGGAAAATCTCTCAAAATTGAGCTAAGTAAATATTCCGAATCGAGTACGACCGCGAAGCGCGATTGCGATTCCGATTCCGATTCCTGGGACCGTCCAGATCCCGAGCCGGCAAGCTCCTCAATCCGCCTACTTGCCGGCCAACTGTGGCTGCTATTGGTGGCTCTTGCTGAGCAGGTGCGAGTTGAACTCGTACACGTTGTTCAGCTGCTCGCCGCAGATGTTGCACCGCCACGGATTGCTCTCGCAGTGGCAGCCCTTGTGCAGGAAGTACAGCGTCTCGTCCGGGAACTCGATGCCGCAGAAGTGGCAGGTGAGGATCAGCTTGCGGTTGATCAGCAGGTCTCCATCCTGGCCGGTCGACGTGATGGTCCCGTTGCAGATGGGCGTCGAGCTGGCGCCATTGGTGGCACCGGGCGTTGCCGGCGTGGGTGGCCCTCCGCCTCCCCCTCCGCCGCTGGTGCCATTCAGGCCGGGTGATCCCCGACCGGAGCCGTTGCTCAGGCTGTTGGACAGCACGGAGTTGTTGTTGTTACTCTCCAGCGGGGTGGCATTCCGGGTGATCCGGTTGTTTGCCTTTGCGCAGATGCGACGCTTAAGATCCTCGCGCAGGAGCGATTTCAGTGGCGAGACCTGGCTCAAAATCGGATGGATTAGAATATACCCGTATATATTGTTTACTTCATATTAACGCACCTTGATCAGTGAGGTGATTCTGTTGTTGTTGCTGCTGCTGTTGTTATTGTTGGAAGCCTGTTCTGTATCGCTGCTGGGATCACTGCCGTTCATCAGGTCCTTCTTGTCCATATCCTCCGACATGGGCTCCTTTTGGTCATTAAGAGGAAAATTAGTTTTTTTAAAACAAGGAAACAAGTACAAAATAAATATGTTTATGTTATCTCATTTGCATACTTCCCACACATACTTTTCATTGCACAAAGTAGCGAAAATTTTATAAAAAAAATACGCACATTAAAAAAAATATATAGTTAAATAAATCTGTAGGCTAATCGGTTGAAATATTAATATATAACAACAAAATACAATAATTTCCATAAACAGCATTCAATACATAATTCATGGCATTTCAAATCATGAAAATGTAAACAGAAATTTATTTTACAGGTCAAGATCAAACGCTGAATCAACCATCAATATAAAAGCCCTGGATCTCGGCAGTCTATTAGAGCCAGTTCAGCCAAATTAGGTATGCAGTCTTTTATGATGCACAACAGGTTTTTAAAAATTGTTCCGCCTTCGCATGCAGATGAAGTGTGGATTCGATCCAGTACGAGCCGAACTTCCATCTCTTGAAAATGAATATTTACAAAATTTAGTTAGGAAAGAGGTTGCTTTGAATTCCCCCTTTCAGTTTGTTTTGTGAACAATGTTCTAATTCCCTAATGCTGCCAATATAAATTCACATGCACACTAGTGTAGCCCTATTTTATAAGCCCAATAGATTTAGCCATTAGCCCAGTAAAACGGCGTGTGTTGATCTCGGCACTAGTCAACTCACCTGTTTAATAGGTATAAGACTGATCGACGGCGTTATGTGGTTCTCGTGGTGGTGATGGTGGTGGTGGTGATGCGGATGCTGGTGGTGGCTCTTCAAGCCTCCACTCAGGCTGCTGGCTGTGGTGCTGGATGTGATGGGCGTGGCCTTTGTGTTGCAATCCATGGGCAGCTCCACTGGCGATTGCATGATGAGGGCTCGATCTTTCACCTTATCGCCATTGGACTCGGCATTTCCATTGCTAATGGAGTTGCAGTTGTTCCCTCCATTTATATTGTTGTTGTTGTTGGTAGCGCAGTTGTTATTGTTGTTATTATTGTTGTTGTTGTTGCCCTGTAATGCAGATTCACGCCAAACGCAAATCAGCTGGTTTATCATTTGTAAGAGAGGGGGCTTGAAAAAGGGATGGGCCGCCATACAGCGATTGACTTACATTAAACAACTCCGTGTTGCCGCTCTCGCCCAGCGTCGAGATCTCCACGTGGGGCGTGAGGAAGTGCATGGGAGGCGTGGCATTCTCCAGGGATCGCATGGACTCCCCGCTATCGCTGGCCGGAGGAGCCACCTGTTGCTGCTGCTGCTGCTGGGACTGAGATTGCACGGGCACTGGACTGAGTCCAGGTGGCACGTAACTAGCAGCCGCCGCCGCTGCCGCCGCCGAAGCCTGTGATTCCAGGGCCAGGAGCAACGAGGAGGTGCCACCCGGTCCCGGGTTATCCAGATCGATGCCGTGACGGTTGAAGAAATGAATCCTCAGCGACTTCATGGACCCCGCTCTGTAGCTGCATAGCGGACACGTCTTCACCAGATCATGCTGGCCCACATGTTCGTTCTGGAAGTGGGCGCGCATCGCTATCTGGCGCTGGAAGCCACGGTTGCAGATCGGACAGTGATAGGGCAGCGTCTTGGTGTGCGTCGTGAAGTGCTCCGCCAGGTGGTCCTTGCGGAAGAACCTCTTCTGGCACACCCGGCACTCGTAGGGCTTTACACCAGTGTGGCGCATCTTATGGCGGCGCATGTTGGCGCCGTTGGAAAACTTCATGTTGCACACATCGCACTCGAAGACCTTGCGAGAGCTGCTGTTGCCGCCGCCTCCTCCTCCGCTATTCCCGGCCGGCGAGGAGCTGGCTGAGGAGCTGGAACCATTGCCCGTCTGGTTATCGCCTTTGCCGCCCTCCATGTGACCCAGGCTCATGTTCTCCGGCTCCTGCAGATCCTCGCTCTTCAGACGCGCTGATGCCGCCGCCGCTGCTGCCGCCGCCGCCGCCTGACCCGCCAGGCACTGGACCACATGGAGCAGCAGGGATGCCCGCGAGCTTGTCTCGAAACTGTCGCAACGCTCGCAGCGGAAGGTCATGGGCGGCGAGTGGGGGCCGGTGCTGAGATTCGTGGGCGTGGGTGTGGGCGATCGCGGTTCCTGTAGCTCAGACTCGGAGGCGGATGAGGCGGCTTCCTTGAGGCTGCGCAGCGCCATAGCGTTGTGATGCAGCAGGGCCGCCGTGGTGGGCGTCATGTCCACAATGATGCCGCCACCCACCGTCGGACTGGGGTCCTTTAAGGCCAACTCCATGCCGCTGGCCGCTGTACTGATCGTTTCGGCCATCTGAAAGTACGTAGTGGGCATTGTCTTTAAGTTCTTGTTGTATTAAATCTTAATATTACACCAACTTGACCCTAAATCTATGTAAAATATTTTAAATATTTTTAATGGGTAATATCATTGCGCCCATTTCTATATGTTTGCGCGCATTGCGAATAAGATTAGTCCAGACCACGCCCGAAAATCGATGACAAGCTGTGGTTGCTATTTCGGTTGTTGCTGTATTTTGCAGTCAGTTTTTGGCATTTCAAGTGCTTCCAGCCCGTAGACCCAAGCCCAAACTCAGACTTCGACTCTAATAAGCCAAATTGGTGTCAGCGTCGCAGCTTCGTGGGATGGGGGGCAGTGGGTGGGGTAACTGCTGTGAGAGACAGGGTATGGAAAGGGGGAGGGGGAGGGGGAACCTGTGGAGAATTCGCCAAGAACCAAAGCAGCAACAACAACCACACCGGCACCGACCATTTTTGGGCGGCCTTGTCGCTGTAGTTGTTGCCGGCGTTGACGTTGACTTCGTGCTACGAAAATACCAAAGTTATTGGGGCCAATTACTGGTCTTGCAGGTGGGCAATCACTTGGACACCCAAACACACACAGAAACGCTGCCCGAACCACAGATGGGGACCACACCAACAAACGACGAGCGAATCATTCAAAGCTCTGCGGCCAACACAATGGCAACCAAATGGCATTTGGCACAACATTTTGGGGTTCTTTTGAAGACGTTCTTGTTTCAAGCAAGCATCTTCAATTCCACAGTAACCTAAATATAGTTTTAACAAAACAAGCTACTATCATCCTAAAACAGGTTGCACAAAGATGTATGAGAACATTTATGTTCGACTTTTACTGAAATTGGTACTTGAATAAGATAGCATTAATTTTCTGAAGCAAACAAACTAATAACCGAACGAGAAAGCATCTATTTTGAAAAAGGTATTATGCTTAATGGAGTTTTGAAGGTACTTCCCCAAACAACGATTATATTTAAAGTTTCGAGTTTCGTCCCATTGTGCAACTGTGGCTTAGTGACGCATGTCACCCGTCGTCGGGCCCGGAATTGGGCAATAGGTCAAATGTGGCTACATATGTACATAGTGCAGATTCGGCACATACGAGCAGGTGCGGATGTGCGGATGTGCGGGGTGTCGGGGTATATCGGGCAGCGTATAAATCATCATCCATAATCATTGGACAGAGCTGGCCCAGCTCTTCTCGCAGCTAATTTAATTCAACCTTGAATGGTTGTGCATTAGCATTAGCCAGATCACAAAGCCAAGAGCCATGGGGCCGACCTCAGCCCCAACGAGCTTCCCTGTGCCACAGCGATATGTGTGAGTGGTTGTGCATTTCTGGCCAGGTCAGCACTCTGAAAAATGAGATGTGTGTCATAGGCCTATTTGGGGGCATCTACATAATTACAAATTCACTTTTCGATGCTGCGCCGAACGGGTTTTCGGCGGTACGAAACTTCTTTTCGGGCCAGGCCACTCAAATGTTGTAAGCTCGTAAGCATTAGCAGAGCGAGCCCAACTAAAACGCACAAAAACTCGGTTTGCATTTTCAGCAATTATGAGCGCTGTTGGCTTTGGCATTATAAATGCCATAGTTGCCAACCCAATGGAGTCATAGGGTCAAGTTTTAGAGTGCAACTGGGTCAGGCTTTATCATTATTATCATTATCGCCGCCACCTCTCCATCGCCATCGCCACCACCATCATCATCATCACGATAATCTCTGGCCAAGCGCTGGCTAACATATGTACGACCCAACTTGGGGTTTCGGGTCTTCGGGGTGTCCCGCATTTTCACTTGCCCGCCAAGCTGTTCCCAATTCGAAGCCCCGAAAGGCGAGAGAAAAAGAAAACATAAAGCGCTCTGGAAATGAGAAATGGTCGGAGAAATGCGAATGGGAGCACACACACAGTGAGCGACATAATTGGAGCGCCCCGAGAGCCCTTAATGATGTCGCACACTGTCCGCCGGGTGGCCATAAAGGGATGCCCACGTGTGCGGCTAATTTTCAGGGGGAGTCCGAAACAGGCGTGGGAACTGAAACAGAGTTATGATTTCGTCCTGGGATGCCGATTTAAAAAATTACATTTTGGTTCAAAAAACTGATTGGCTGTGGCCGCTAAAATGCATTGAATTTACATTTCCTTGAAATAAAATCATGTACGTGCTATTTTATCATCAGAAAGAAGTCGAGAAAGCCAAAATGCTGACTTATGAACTCGAAATAATTTATTGTAGATGATTGAATTCTCCGTGCAAAGTTTTTGAAACGTATTAGCAACATTAACATTGCGGATTAGAAATTTTGTTGTAGAATTATTACCATACATGGTAAAAACACATACTAAGCTGCATTGAAAAAGGATGCTACATAACATTCCCTGTAATTCAACTAAATTTCTTTGCTCTGACGAGCTTCACTAAAGTGTCTTATCGAAATATTAAGAACGTAGAAAGTAAAGTCATTCAAACACAAATGATTTCAAATAATAAGCTAGCTGGCCTTTGAATTCCAGCTCGCTGGCTTGAAGACACTGTGCGTTTGCTTGTAGGCCAAATGAATCTTTTGCATAGCCTTAGGCCGCCGCGCACGATTCCCATTCAAATTTAAATCAAAAGCTAGTTTATTAGCATTGCATTGACCAGTGGTGAATCCACAGCGGAATGGGAGTCGGAATTGGAATCGGAATTGGATGTGGACGGGGAACCAAAGTGGAAGTGGAGTTAAAAACGAAGGCGGCGCATCTTTTTGAAGGCGACTGACTTTCGAAGGCTGGATCTTCATGCAAAATAGACCATATTTCAGATTTGACCTTAGCAGCGTTGTTTTTTTTTTACCGGTTTTCCAGCGTGGGATGGTCGGGGAGGGGAGATCGTCTTTCGTCACGCAACAAAATGAGTCAGTCGGTCGATGGAGTTGTTTTTGTTTTTGTTCCCTTCCTTGCCAAATCAATGAAGCATTGCCAGAAAAAAAAGAAAACAAAAAAACAACAACAAGCGTGTAACATGTGCGTCGAAATGAGAACAAGAACAGAGCGGAAAAGAGAGAAGCGGGAGAGAGAAAACCACTTTCCATGGTGACACACTTTTATGCTACGTGCTGTTTTGCTACTTTTGCCGCCGCTTCTGCTGCTGCTGCTGCTGCAGCAGCAACAACGCCAACACCACCAACAACAACAATGAGGCGACTCCCATAATAGAAAGTGGAACAGGAATTTCCCCCCTCTATCAATGCCAGAGAGCACGGCACGGCGATGATTTCATTTCGGCTTTGGTTTTGGCCTGGCCTGCACTCATTGCGAAACACTTGCCACGGCCAACAAGCAACGGGCAGCAGCAGCAACAACAACGCAAGAAAATCAAGAAACGGGCGAGAAAAAACGTGGGGTAAAAAATAGTTCAGTGGGAGCCGATTCGAACGTTGGAGCTCTCTGTGTACAAGCGCTCTCCTGAACACTGACAAAAACCAGAGAGGCTTTAAAAATAAAGGTCAATGGAGTGTTAAAGCTTAAAGGCAATAACTATGGAATTTGCCAATTTATATGTATTGAAAAAAAATTTAAGATTCGTTTTTGCTATGAATTCATTATCCCACTTATAACATGGTTAAACATTATACATACATATGTTATACATATACATATTAAAATAAGATCCTTTTAATATGCGAATATCTATTTAGCCAACTTTTTTCCCATGTAGCTCTCTGTATACAACCGCTCTCCCACGCTCTTTCTCCCACTCTCTCCCGTTCGGCAAGTGCAGCATGCAGCGCATGTCCCGTTTTTGTTTATGCTTTTCCCACACCCGCTCTCCCAGGCTGTGGTTGTTGTTGTTGCCGCTGCTGTAGTTCCCGTTGTTGCAGGTGCACGTTTTTTGCTCTCGCTGCAGTTGCAATTTTGTAGCATTAGGCGCGTGAATTAATTTCTAATTGATGGGACCAGCAACCATGCTCTGCCCCACTTCCGATTCCCAGAGAGAGAGTCCGCCGCTCTGCTCTCTTTGCTAAGTGGCTAGCGTATAATTTTTGTTGTGTTGACCTAATTATACGCTCATTTTGATTCACTTGATTTTCTCTGCACACAAACACTGGCAAACACACACACACACACAGGCACGAACGTTTCGTCACTGCGACAAGTGGAGCAGGCAGCGATGCCGGCAGAGGCAGCAGCTTGCGGCAGCGACCGTAATTTCTTGTGGTTACTGGGACGCAAAAACAAATACAAAATATAAATAAGATGGGATACACCCCCTCGAAACCCACACAACGATGCGTGCTTTTAGCCACTGCATCCCAGCATTCCGATATCTGCCAATAATTCCCGATTCCGAAATTCCCAAATACCGAAACAAACCGAACCGAACTGAATCCAAACTGCAATAGCTGGTGGAAATGGATGTGGAAGTCCCACACCAACTGCATCGGTATCCGAATCCCAATATACATTCTATATATGTATGTATCTGTGTCTGTCTTCGTTTTGTTTGGGACGGAAATGCCAGGGATGGCGTCCGAGGGGGGTCACCACTTCAGGTGAGTCAGAGTTCGAAGGGATGGGGGTCAGATAGATATTAGCCACAATTATTTCTGCACTGACAAAAATTGCTATTTGAGGTGTAGTGTAAAACTATAAGCGGATGGAATATTATAAGCCCTAAATTTAATGAACTGACTGTCCCATTGCCTTAATCTGTTATAAAAAAGTAAAAAAGCTTGGTATTATGTTTATAATACAATGTTATTTTGATGTAAAAACTAGAACTGGAAAAGATATAAGCCTGCAATGTACTAGTATTTTCTGCGTTAACCAATTCGGAAAGGAGTTTTTTTTTCATCTCGCACAACTAATCATTAGTTGTTAGTTACAAAATATTTTCCCAAAATGTATACCAGTCAACTAATGCTTGAAGATCTTCGTTTGGGGAATGCTTGAGTTTGAAGGCCTTTTTTTTTGTTGGGTTATTCTCCCATGAAGAGTGGATGTGGATGTGGATCCCCCTTGGCGCCAAACACCACTGCCGAAGATTTGCCAATCGCTTGGCTCTCCGGAACACCAGCACACCACTACACCGTCACCCAGAGAGCCGCCACTCACTCAAACACACTCATACACATACAGCCATCCAACCGATGGCACAGAGACACAGATCAGCCGCAGCAGCAACAACAAGACAGCAGAATTTGAAATTAGGTCAACAGGTTTGGCTGCTTGTAGTGGTGGGCCAGTTACTCGAGCGTATGCCGTCGTCTTTGCCTACGACCTCGGCTGTCATCATCAAGGGAGCGGGGGAGCAGAGGAGGTGGTGGAGTAGAGGGAGCTGAGGGAGCCGAGGGAGCAGCAGCAGCACCAACTACATCCAAGCTATCGCCGCCAACGCAATATGCGTTCCGTTCCGACCCGTTCGCCGTTCGTCGTTTATTGCACCACAGTTCGTGCAGTCTGCAGTTTGCAGTTTGCAGTTGCTGTAGGGGGAGATGCACTCGCACACACACACACACACACAGCCGTACATCCCAATTGAGCACACTGCACTGTGTCTGCGCGGGTGAAGGGGTGCGGATGGTGGGCGATGGGTTGTTGGTGGTGGGTGGTAGGTGGTGGGCGATGGGAAAGGGGTGACGGGTGGACGTCACTGTGTGCGTGCACTGCTTTTGGGGAATGAACCAGGGATGCAGAGCACAATTCTAGCATCCCACTGAAAGAGACAAATTGGGAATCGAAAAAGGGAGGAGGAACGAAATCGACGCCAAGCGACTTCTAAGACATATTTTCTAAATGGAAAATATAGATAATCCATGATAAGAGCAGGTTTTTGAGCAGGTAAAACCGTGACAACTGTACAGCTATAAGTATGCACATTACATAGTTGGCTTAATTATTTCAATTAAATAGGTAAAATTTGAAAAACAGACCATATGATATCACCAAGATATTCTTCAATGAGCGTGATTAGGCACAAACCCAATTCTTAACACAAAGAAGATAGGAAGTGAAACTTTTTGTGGCACTCATTAGAAAATTCTGCTAAGGAGAAACTAGAGTTCTATGAATGACAGCTTCTTTTTAAGCCATTTTAATTAGTTTATACGGACTTTAAAAATCTTGCAGTCAGTTCATTTTGAGGTGAAAAGTGGCATTATATTATATCAGTTGACTTTCCCACACTTAATAAGTTAAAATATGTTGAAAATATCAACAGACAACATACATACATAAATGGGAAAAAATTGTTTCTTGGGATCCGCTTTAGTTAACTTCTAACCAAATCGGACGTGAGCAGGTAAGACTGCCGTTTTAAAAGGTTCGAATGGGAAGGCAGCAATCTTCTAGCTGAAAACTGTTGCGAAAACGCGCATATGTTCTGAAATGGAAACTCAACGCGGAGCCGCCGACTGGCGAGACCAACTTGAGTTTCTGATTTGATTTCGATGCAGCCAAGAGATTTCCACATACTTCTTAGTTGGTTTCTGTGTCACAATCACACAGTCGTGGTGGACGCGGCACGAGGAAGGGGGGACGAGGACGGGCCAAGTAATGAGCTCCCAGAGAGCTGCAGCCATCGCCATCACCACCTGCAGCAGCGACGGAGGCGTCGCAGCCACCGAAGCCGGAGCAGATAATCCCAGTAGAAATTGAAACTAGCTGCGGCAGGTTTAGAAACTGGTATAGAAAAACGCCAGCCACAGCCGCAAAGGCAGAAACGGCAACAGAAACAGCAGCACACATAGGCAATCGACCTTGTAGGAGTGTATTTTGTCTTGGAGCATGCCCGTAAACTGGGCCAACGCGATTGCACTGAAATCAGGTGGGCGTGACGTAGGTAAATACGGTGCAACTCCGCGAAGTTGAATTCTTGGAACTCCAAATAAATGGGATGTTAGATATGCTGGTCGGCTTACCAGAAGGGCTCGTTAAGGGATTTTTTCTAAAACTTGTGACTTGGCCTATCCCAAAAATAGCTTATACTACTTCTTATATCTTGGACAGCTTCTTTAAACTTGTAAAATACAATTTTCGTGTTAAAAAAAAATTAAGCAAAAGAAAAAAGTTCTAATGAATCTGAGTGTAATTATAAATAGTTAGTTACTTATACCTTTATGAAATTTTAGTAAAACTCTAGTTATAAGAGTGACAGATGGCGTGGCCAACTATGGAATTTTGACTGTATGTTGGCCAATAAACGCGTTAGTGTGTGCGTGTTCGTGTGGGAAAGCTGGCTGTACCCTTGGCGCCCATTAATCCATGGCGGAAAATCCACGAAAATCTGTCGCAATCCGACAGATATCCGAAATAGCCAGGCGCTCGCAGGAGTTTCGTAATTACATACCCGCTAAAATGAAAGAGCGGCAGCCTTGGCTTCTGATTTTCAGTTTCTTTTTCTCGTTTTTTAGCTTGTCAGTTCTTCGATTCTTCGGTTTGATAGTTTTTTTCGTTTTAACTTAGCATTAGCACAGCTGGAGTCTTTTGCAATGCTCTCGAAAAAAAGAAACGCGCTGGGTGTTTGGCAATTTTAGATTTCAAAATACCACAAGGTGCATTCTAAACACGCACACACACATAGGCACACGCACACAAACAGGCACTGGTGCGCTCTCCCGCTCTCTGGCACACACACACTGCGGCATTATTGCAGTTCTTGGATCTATGTTTCTCAATGGACTTCCATGGAGCGGGGGCATTGCTTTTGCAATTTGCAATTTGCGTACACTGCGGAGTCGCGGATTATTCAACCAACTAACCTCCCACAAAAACGGCAACTGGAACACAACACAACAATCGCAATGGATGTGAGTGTGGATGTGGAGTCGGATGTGGATGCACTCGAAACAACGCGAACGCCGAGATGCCGAATGGATATGCAGTCGAAATCAAACCGAAATCGAAATCGAAATTACGCGCAGCTCGAAAGGGCAAGAGTTAGCTTTGGGCCCCAAATAATAATAATAATAATAACAACAATAATAATAATAAAACTGTCAGTGGACAACGCGCGCGCCACATGCGAGGCCACATCCGAATGGGCCAAAAGACGAATCCACTCTGAGCGGATTCCGATTCGGAATCAGTATCTCCCGCTCCGCCGACGCTCTGCCACTGCTCGCGTCGCTGCTGGCTGCGCTGCCGTGGCGCTCGGTGAAACAAAAACAACTCAAGCGATTCCGATTCCTCAAGGCCTACTATTTAGGCCAAAAAATAATGTACCACAGCAACTACAGCAGGCAGCAGTGGCAGCGGCAGCGGCGGCAGCAACTCGTTTCTTACAGAAATGTAAACGTTCTAATTGAGTTCTCATTTATGGCCCGCTACACCGACTGTGCAACCGAGCACTGGTACTTGTTGTTGCAATGCCTAAAACCATCGGAAAATGTTTTTATCCGGCTGGCATAACCATTTTCAAATTGGAAACAAGTTTACTGAACCCTGCTAGGTTGCCTTTTTCACCAAGAGCAGCGACACTCGTCGTTTTCATTTCAAATCACTTGTCTCAGTGGAACTGGCGATTAAGTATTCATTAGCAAAATATCTTCTGCATCGTGTCTCTTAAAAATCTTGCAGTTCTTTTACGATGATGACGAAACCTTCATGAATGTTGAGGATGGTATATCGATGGTCTTTTCCCATTTTCCATATGCAAATATTTAATTTTATGTATGAGCTCAAAAAATAAGTTGGCATATAAACCCATATAGGAAAATATTTTGCAAAACCTTCAGAAACGTTAAAAGAAAGCATCTCTTCAAATCCTTATTGGTATAATTTAATACATTTGTTTTCTTTATTTCGTCAGAGAATTTACAATTCAGTTAAAAAAAAACCTAATTAGAAACAATCAGATCTTCAGAAGTTCCTCAACAATCTAACAAAATAAAAACATTTTTATGTTGATTTGCCATAGAAACAAAAGTAATATAAATAACAGCAATTATTAAAACCACTTAAATACATATAAGGTGGTGAAATCTTTGATCTATTTTTGAAAGGGGATGTCGACCAGAACGTTACGGTTTAAAAAACTGGCGTTTCGAGGTGCTATGCAAGCCGAAAATAACCTCATTAAAGCGGAAAGAACACAACTTACTGCAGAGAGCCAAAACCGGTTTGACTTTATATTCCTTTCGTTGAGATAAAGGTTGCAAATAAGCGAAATCCAATCTACCAATGCTTCCAATTTATCAGCTAATCCCAATCAGAATCTGGCTCGCATTTTTGGGTCCGTTTAATCCTTCTCCGTAAGTCGTGGTTTCTTTTATGATAACGTCGCTTTAATATCTGAAAGGCACCTCGGATATCGGCCACGTAGTCCGCTTGGGTATATCCATCGGTATTCAGGATCGCTAAAGATAAGAGATTACCGGAAGTTTTATTATTTATTGTTAAAAAAATGTTATTTAAATCTTATTCAACTTATTTTTTTTGCGTCTTAACCGAACCTAAATACGGATTCTACATAAATTCTTGCCGCCTTTTTTAGTTTCCCAAATACGAAGAACTCACTATAAAGAGTCATACAAATTAAAAATAAGAGAGTAGCAGTACTACAAAAAAAGGAACGATTGCGGACTCCATACGCTCATATATGTAAAAGTATTCAGTTTTTTTTCAACTCAGATTTTTAAATCGGAATAAAGCAGTACTTACTCACCAAAAATAGTTTTGTTAATATATTTGTATTGCTTAAAGGGCTGCTTAGTGCTCACACCGTCGTAATTGTAGGCCATGACAATATCGTAGTCGAACATCTTTGTAAAAGTGTTCTTCAGCGGTTCTATTCGTCCTTCTGGTCTCAGGATGCGGTGAATAATATGAGCCTGGAAGGTAAAATATCAAGTTTGTAATACCCCAACATTCAGGCTTACGCTGTGTGCAATCACATATTTATTGCCCGGTTTTGAAAGATTCGAGTCCAGATTGGAAAGTTCGTCGGGATCAGTCACGGGAAAATAGTCGAGTTCCACCTTGAATAAGTCACCAGTGGGTCTGGTTTGAGCCACCTGACAAAGGCGTGCGAGAATCTCATTTTGGTTTTCTAGGATCTTATCCAGCTTATTTTGCAGCTCCTCTATTGCATCTACCAATAACTCATCGCCGTTACCAAAATACTTGGGGTATTGGTGTTTGCTCATTGCGCGCCTTTGTAAATATAATTAATGTTTTGTCATCAAACTGCGTATCTTGTCCATAGTTTTGTACATGAATGGGATTTGTTTACTTGGCCAAAGAAATATGTTTTGTTGACGATAGAGGTGTGCAAATGCCTTTTTTTTTCTCTTCTGGTATCGATATACCTCCACTGAATCGGGTTCGGAACCTTAATGAGCAGCCTGTTAAGAAAAAGGGTAATAAATTTGTAATGCTCAATGTGCTTAAATCACATAAACTAGATTAAATTAGATTATAGCAAACTGAAAAAAATTTCCTATATTAATGGTAGGGGAATGTTACCAATTTAAAAACTAGCAAAATTGGTTTGAGGCACCGCTAGTTTTCTAACGCGGACCCCAGGGCTACATGACCAGATAAAGCCATATCGATCGACATCACAAACGGTCACATTAAAAGTGCGTTTCTCGGCGCATTTGCAGGTATTGTGTGTGACTCCGATTTGAAAATTTGTTTATTCAATTTAAAGCCGTGACCGAAAACCTGCTGAGGTGTTAAAGTGTAGTTTAAGTGTCCCCACACATGTGCAACGTGTTTTCGACTTGCCTCTCGGGGCCTTGTCAGCGAAAAACTCGCTTGAAAATTCAATAGTGGCCGCTGTCTGGAGCGGCGGTCGCCGTCAATTAGTGGGTCCCTTGGTTTACATAAGAGCGAAAGAGTCGGCTAGTGTGGCGTTGCAGAAATGGCGTCGAAGTATGTGCACATGGCTTGGTCTATTTAGGCTATATTTCCCTTTTGCTCCGAAAAGTGCAACTGGGAGTGCGTTATCCATGCCGGGTATGCCACATATTAAACAAGTTTCGCCCACAACGAATCGTACATTTCGTTTTTTTCGGCGCAGTGTACGCCACTTTGTCCGGTTTTGCATTCCGCTTTGTGCGCTTCATTCGGTTTCAATGCCCTCGCATTCAGTGTTGCCAAGTGCCGGAGCGTGCCTAGTGATGTGTGCCATCCGAGTCCTGCCGTGAATTGGTGTGTTTGTGCAAAGATTGTAATTAATTTTGATTGCCCTTTCTAGGACCCGCTACCTCGGTTACTAAGCGTACAATTGTGCTCCAATTGTTGGTTAATTTAACGGCCTTGCCAATTGCCGTTTCGCTTCGTTGGCACCTGGCAACACTGGTCAGCCCGCGCTGGTGCGAGTGCGAGGGAGATACCGATAGGGCAGATGCAGAAGAGCGAGCACAAAAGCGAAAGCGAAAACCCGAAGCGAGGAGGCCAAGGAGTTTATAAATCAATTTTTGTGTATGTCAGTCCCCGCGATTCCCGTTGCAATTGGTATTGAGTAGTTTCCGGGTTCCGGATCGCAGGTCCCCAGTTCCCGTGGTCAAATTTCCATATCATGGTGTACGTGCGAAATGCGAAACCTGATGGAAAAGTGATGGCGACAGCGGTCTTTTGTTTGTGTGCGGCAGTACGCGCGTGTGTGTGTATGAATAATGCATGGAAAGGCGTTATTCACGGCAAACGTTGATAATACTGTTTTGACAACAAAAATCGAGTGATTCAGATATGCACTTAGTATCGGGGTCACATCTCCTGCTCTCTTTCCCTTGAACCACCCCCCTGGAAAACCAAACTGACGTTTCGGCTTGGATGCGTCGTGGTCACGTACCCCGCCACCCTCCCTCGCACCCACCCCCGTTACCTGTTTTGCCAATACATTTTTCCCCTCCTTGACACCCCGTTTTCATTATTTTTGTTATTTTTGAATGCGCGCTTTGTTTGTGCGTACGCTCTTCCCTTCCTCTCGCACTACTTTGCTTCGGTGTGTGTGTTTGTTCACGTTCTTTCATTCTCTTTTATTAAATGTACATTGAACTCTCATCTTGCCAGCTTTTCCTTTGCTGTTCTCTTTCGGCCACTTGTTTAGCCATTATTACACATCCGATAATAAAAGCTGTCTGGATTGTGGGAGTTTATAATTAATATTTTCACGCCGACGAACTAAGATTTATATATTATCCATTCCATTATCTCTAATTACAAAAACATTTAAATACCCCATGAATTCTATTGGATTCTTTATACATTATAGTAAGTAATGCTGGTCGAGAAGTTGTTGCCACTGACATACATATATCTATCAACTAACAAGAATCCAGCTAGGCTTGTTATTAAATCCGTACAGATTCATTTTAATATGAACACAGACGGTTTGTAAATTATCAACACCAGTAAATAAAAAAGTTATTTGGCAATGATATGATTTAGATATTCATATTTATTATAGACCATTAAATAAACCCAGAAAATCCTATACTCAGAATCCAGTCAGCACAGACTTACATTTTTTATCAGTCAGATTGTAGATTCCCTAGATATAACATCGAATCCTTCATATTTTCCGTATTGCAGCTAATTTGTATATACAGTGTACATAGAGATGAGCACACAAACTCGTTCAGGTGGCGGGGGAGGCGTCGGCCATACCCGCAACCAGAAAAAGTCAAATGCCAGCAACTCCGGCGGAGGAGGAACCGGCCATCACGATGGAGTCTCACATGCTCCGGCCGCTGGCAAGAAGGGCGGCCAGGATGCCAGCAAGACAGACAAGCCAGAGAAGGCCCAGCCCAAGGCTACCACCGAACAGTTGCGCATTGCCCAGATCACCAATAGCACCACAGAGGATCCGCAGATCAACGAGAAGGTTCTCCTCCTTTTGACCATGACCCAACGTTCCGAAGAGGAGGTCTGCTGTGCCCTCAACGAGTGCGATTACGACCTGGAGGCAGCGGCCAACTTCTTGATCGAAGAGCTACCGCAGGTTGGTTTCGATTGTAATCTCCTTCGCTCCAGTTATTCAGTTGAATCTGTTGTAGGGCGCCTTTGCCAAGTACGAGAAAAAGCGCAAGAACAAGGCTGCAAATAACACGGCTGATGGCGCTGCTGGCGATGGCGATTGGGCCGATGGCAATGCCAACGCGGACAAGCGGGAAAAGTCGCGAAACCGCAGCTCAAATCGCGGAGGAACCCGTGGCTCAAGTGACAGTCGTGGATGTAAGTATCATAAACAACGCTGACTTAGGGCTCAAAATGCAAAGACGTTTTGTCATAACCTGATTTAGTCATTGCACAACTATAAAAGATAATGATGCTGAAATCCAGTTTAACTAGAAGATATGTAAAAAATTATAGTCATTCAATATTACATTGCTGATTGGCATTTCAGCTTCAGCTATTGTTTTTCATGCAAGAGCTGTAATTAGACAAAATATTAACTTGATGAAATAATTTTAGTAAATGAGTTACTAAACTTATTCCTCCTCTAAACTTAAATTAATATATTATCTCCAATATTCTAGGGCGCGGAAGAGAGACTCGCGAGAACGAGCGCAACCAGCGCGAGTCTCGTGAACCTTGGTCCGGGCAAAACGTTGGTCAGGATCGTGGTGACGATCGGGCTAATGACAACTACCGCGGGCAGCGCAACGGCGGCGGACGTAGTGGACCCGGTGGCGGTGGACGCGGCGGTGGATTTGTCTCTCGCTCTGGCCGTGGCGGCGGCCGCATGGGCGGCCGCACCGGTGGTCCTCGTGGCGATCGCGGCAGCGGAGGACCTGGCGGTGCTTATGGATCTGGTCGCGGTGGCAACGGTAACGAAGATCACCACGAAGTTGAGCTGTGGGACAACACCATTGCCCAAAACGCCGAGAAGCAGCAACAGGCTCATGATGATGCCTGGGGTGACTGGAACAACGAGGAGTACGAGGGCTCGCTTAAGGACAGCAAGGTGTTCACCACTAGCAACCTGGCAACGCAATCCGCTGCTAACGTGGTTAGCGGAACTGGAGCTAGTGTTACAGGTGTCTCTGCGGTGGCTGGAAGCGAGATTTCGGCGCCACCAGGTCTTGAACATCAGTTGGTGCAGCAGGGATCTCATCTGGATGAGAGCTCCAGCAGCGGTCCAGCGGCGGTCACACCGCCAGCAACGCTGACCGGCTCGGCGACCACGCCGCTGCTGCAATACAGCGCAGCGGTCAGTAATCCACCACCCCAGCTGCAGTCCCAGGGCACACAGTCAGGAGCGGGTACGGGAGCGACCGCAGCTGCCGGCGGAGGGGCAGGAAGCACACCGTCATCCTTTGTATCCGCCTCTCCCGACACATTCTCAAGCGCCGCCTCGGCAGCTGCCACGCTGGTGCACCAAGCACAAAAGCAGCAGCAGCTTCAGCAGCAGACGACGCCTATTAAGCCGTCGGCTACTTTGTCAGTCGAGCAATCTCAGTATTTCAACTCGTTGGCTAGCCAGGGCGTCAGCCCAGGTTCTGTACCAGTGCAGTCGGCGCCAGCGGGTTACGCCCAAAACCCCGTAGCCGCCTACTCCCAAACTAGCACTAGCGTAGGTGTGAGCCAGTACCCCAACACCTATGCCAATGTGTTTGCCTCTGGAGCGGGAGCTGGTGCTGGCGAGCAGTCGCAACAGCAACCGCAGATACGAAGAGCTCGCGTTAAGCTGCCACCACCCTCAAAGATTCCTGCGAGTGCCGTTGAAATGCCTGGAGACAATGCACTGAACAACATTGGCTACCTGGACGTGCAGTTCGGCGCTCTGGACTTCGGCACGGACGATGGCTTCGAGCCTTTGCCGGAAAAGGTTGGTTCGGGCTTTAGCATTGATGGTCAGCAGCAACAACAGCAGGCAGATGACTACCAAAGCAAGTCCCAGCAACAGCAGCAGGTGACGCTAACGGCTGGTCTGCAGAGTTCCCAGATTGTGAGTACCGTACTGTATTCTTTCAATTGCCCAAGCAATCGTGACCACGATTTTGCTAATACGATTGTTTGTTACATACTGCATATACTTTTGAGAATCTAATAGCATTTTCAATTTATAGAGCGATGCCTTGAGTGCAGCGGGCTATACAAGCCGATCGACGGCACAGCAGCAGCAGGGCGTTAGCTCAGCAGTGAATGCCACAATCGATCAGCTAGCCAAGAGCGACCCGTACGGACAGACGGGCGGCAGTGGTAACGCCTACCAAAACGCGTACCAGAACAGTGGTGCGAGCAAGGCAGCCAGTGGCTTTCCGACGACGGCGCCCGGTGGCTACAGCAGCTCCACATACGCCAATGTGCAAAGCTCGGTGGCCAACAGCTACCAGCAGCAGGGATACGGCTC